CCTTGCAAGGCAACAAAGCTCTCTAAATGCAATGGGGTTTACTGAGTGTATAAGACTATAAGAAAAAACATTATTAAAACGTGAAAGACAATAAAAGGAGAGGAATTAAGAAGACAGAAGATGACGATTGACATTGCATTTAAATTTTTGAAGATCAAAGTCAATAAAGCCACTAGGACTGAAGGGGTTGACTGAGTGTGAAAGAATATTAGTAGCCCTTCTAAACCCTGTTGTGTAGACGATTTACACAAGCTCGTTAGGAAGGGGTTATGCACTGTTTTCCTCTGTACCTCTTGCATTCAACATATCATATGAGTGTCACATTTTCCAAGCCCCCTTTCCTCATTATATTCGCTAGAAATTTTAACTCTTGCTTTTTGATGTTAAGTAAACGTAATAAATAAATTCGAAAATTAGCCCTATATTCTGCACATTAGTTCGGTTTGCTTAATCCAAAACCATTACCAGTGAATATATATATATATATATATATATATATATATATATCCCTTTATTTTTTCAGTTTACTTATACTGATTCATTTTAAAGAAAGAGAGAGTTAGGATTAAATTCATCAGATAATGCAATTATAAAAATTAAAATTAAAAGCAGTGCAATGAGGTTTACTTTCAAGCCTTGTCGCTGGTCTAGTAACAAGAAAAATAGAATTGAAATTCAGCTTTAGAAATAAACAAAAGGCATAAATATATTATGCTGAATAGGTCTATGTTTTAAAAATACCGTATTGAGCAGTTTTATCTGTCGCATGTGCGGATCATCGGAGACTAAATTGATTCCTCCACCATGTTTTTTCCTAGTTGGAGGATGGCAACATTACAGAGAGATGGCTGACAGGACTTAATATAAACTGACGACAGAAATATTAAAAACCCTACATTTGTATATCCACCTAGCTTACCTGCAGGGAATTCCAATCTAAATATCTTAAGTAGGAAAAAAAAAAGTCAACTAGCCGAAGAACCTTTTGCAGAGGTCAACGGCCGTCAAATGCAATGTATGCAGTCATGTAATAACACGGAATCGTTGGCCTGTGGAATACTGTCCTTTTTGTTTATATTCTTAAAACTTCGTCGTTGCTCACATGTTCCATCTATGATTTTTTGGTCTACTTGCACAAGACATGCTACGCATGGCGGGAACTGCTCAGCTGTTCAGAAGCCTATCATGGGATTGATTATGATGCTGACATTATTGTAACATTAGTTTCAGATCCACTGGTGTGACAGATTGTAATCGATTTCTATTTTTTCCTCATATTAGGTCATTTGCAGTGGTGTGCAGTAATATGAATCTATTTTCGGGGTGATGAAATTTGTTTGGCCTTGAAAAATATTCTGTCATCCGTGATTGCATCAGATTTTCCTCACGACCAAAGACTATTGTCTCGACTGTCGATTAGTTGTCCTACGTCCATTGTCTGCGATGGAGGTTATTCCAAGGAAGCGTACGAAAATTGTAACGCTGAACGTACACACTGACAAGCCTTATCAATGAGCAAAACAAAGTACTATATAGTGGCCTGAAATCTCTCCTGATTTAAATCCAATTGAGAATCTGTGGTCAATCTGCAAGGAACGACTTCGCGGGATGGACATACGAAGTACTAACATGTACACTGGGCCATGTTTCATTGGAAAAAACGAAAAAAAGTAAATAATAACGGAATTATTCGCTTTGTTTCAATTAATTTGCACAAGGTTGTGTGAGGTCTGATGAAAAGTAGCGAGATTTATCCGTTCTTCGATGTGAGAGGCATAGACCATAGTGATTTCTTGCCACAGAGCCAGATGATCAATCAGTAAGTCTTCAAAGAGATCCTGTGGCGTTTTCTTCGCTCAGTGCGAGAAGAGACGAAAGATGTGGCAGGACAAATCGTGGCGGCTTCCCCATGACTATGGACCTGCTTAGGACCCCCTAAGCGTCTGGAAGTTCCTGGCCAAGAGGAACATCGCCGTATTGGAACAACCCCCCTTTTCACCTAATACAGAGGGAGTGTGTGTGTGTGTGAGAGAGAGAGAGAGAGAGAGAGAGAGAGAGAGAGAGAGATGGACAAACTTGGATCGATAGATATATACAGAACAGATAGATAGATATGAACAGACTGATCTATCTATCTATCTATCTATCTATCTATCTATCTATCTATCTATCTATCTCTCTCTCTCTCTCTATATATATATATATAATATATATATATATAGATACATAGATAGAGAAGAATATAAATAGATATGAACAGATTGAGATAGATATGAACAGACTGAGATATACGAGGATGCCCAAAAAGTAACGTGACTCTCACATCGAAGAACGTGATCTTCTTCGATGAGAAGCATCGTTCACCGTGAGTTCTTGCCACAGGGCCAGATGATCAATCAGAAAGTCTACAAAGAGATCCTGCGGTGTTTGCTTCGCTCAGTGCGCGAGAAGAGACGAGAGATGTGGCAGGACAAATGACGTCAAGTCGTTCTCGACATTTTGCCCATTAGACGTGGTTTCACTCATCTACCTATTTACTTTGCGTTTTTTCTCGTTGCTTTACTTGTGAACTCTTCTGACAGACCTCAATCAGCCACCCCCCATAAAGTTTCGATTAACAAGCTTCGTTATCTGATATTTCCATAAAAATTAATATGAGACAGACTGACTTTTAGTTTGGTTCAACGCAGCCATTCTTTTGTCTCTCTCTCTCTGTTTTTTTTTTCTTTTAATAATGAATTGCAGGAAAGAGATGGAAACTAAATTTCCAACTTGATTTGCGCCAGAATTCTATCACAATTCTTCACTTTGAATCTATGTCGAGACATAACAGGCAATCCACCCCTCCCCCAAAAAAACCCAGATTCGATAATAGAATAGTGGGTATAGAGTACAGAATTCTTTTTTTTTTCATAAAGTATCATCCGATGTCATTTCCGTTCGGTTCTGTACCGAAGCGAATGATTTTATAACACAAAGGAAATTATAGAAGAGGACATGGCACGACACACTCTATTCTCAGCAGTAAGCAAAGAATAAAAGAACAACTCTTGAGGAAGTCACTTAAAATACAGCCGTCGTGGGCGTTTACTTCGTGATAACCATATGTTGTTTCTTCTCTTCAGCTTACACGAATCTTCTGCTTATTTTAGGTGCCGTGGACATTCACTCAGGACATAGGCGATTATGGTTCTTCACAACTTCCTATACTGTTTGTTTGGTTGGTTGACTTTGTTTAGTGGCACATCAACACCTTTATGAGTTATTTAATGCCGAAATCGAAATATTTTGAACGCAGTTGTATGTTTTAACTACAGCTAAAAATGTATCGTTGGTAATTGTAGTATAAATAGGTATTTTATTTTTTTTTTAAAAGTATTTCACCCCAAGCAAGGCGGGAAGCCACTAGCATGCAAGGAGTTACAGAGGATTTGGAGCGAGAGCAGATAGGAGTGATAGAGGAAAGGATGAAGAGAAGGATAGTGGATAGATCAAGGCAACTGGAGATGTCGATTGACATTACATTTGAATAGTTGGAGATTATAACTATCAGGGAAACAGGAAAAGGGAAGGGAGTTCCACAGGCGAGAGGTGCGAGACATGAAGCTATTGGAGTAGAAGAGACGGCTACATTTAACAGTTTCAACAGTGAAAGGGTGAGAGCGGGATGCCAGCCTCGTAGCACGCTTGAATTCATGAAGTCTGGGAACCAGCGAAAGCAGCTCATCGGAGCAATTACCATGAAAGTATTTGTAAAAAAGACAGAGAGAGGCGACGTCACGTCTGTGAGAGATCGACTGCAGACGAGATGCCAGATCAGGGACATTTATATTGCATATCTGTTTCTGGATCTTATCAAGAACCCCGAGGCAAACAGAAGGGGCCCCAGACCATATATGGCTGCAATACTCAAGGGCGAATTGTTGATTTGTAGATCTGAAGGATCGATTCCAGGGAGAAAAATTTACTGGCGCGGCACAGGGAGCCAACTTTCCTTGCGGTGGACGAAGCAATTGACTCAATGTATTTGTTCCATCTCAGATCAGCAGACAATGTGAGACCGAGCAGTCGCAGAGACGTGCTGTCGAGAAGTCATTTTGCTATAAATAGCTAATAAGTTGGTAATTTTACTATAAAAATGTATTTTTGTACTTCCATAGTGTTTTAGTTTTGTTTAGGGGTTCACTATTTGCCCATAGTTGGGACCCTAACAGGTGCTACCACCCCGGGTCAGGATGAGCCTGGTAACAACAGCGATTAAGAGATGGTTCCACGGTCTTCAAAACCTCCTGATCAGAGACCTTGCTGCCGGATGTACTTTATCGTCATACCCAGAACTATATAGCTCTAAGTAATATTTACCTTTTTACTATCCATATCAGATCGTTCTGCTATATATTTACATAATCTCCCTTGGCTTTTTCCCTACTCCTCTTGCCTTCCGTATGTCTTAGGAGTGTCAAATTTTCCAAGATTTCTTTCCTCATTATGCGTCCTGGAGAGAAGGAAAGAAAGAGACGAAGACAGTGAGAGGGAAGGGGAGAAGCGGTTTCTATTGTGGAGTGGGATCGTTGCCTGCTGCTAGAGAAGAAAAAGAAAGAAATATGAAATAGTGAATAGCTCTGTGAAGATTCCCTTATAGTGAAAGGAAGGGGGAATGGACACCATTAGAGAATGACATTAAAGCCTGTTGCTAGAAAGAAAGAAAGTAACGTGTTATATCGAGAGAATTTTATCGTTGGGAGTTCAAAATAATTTGTTTCTTGATGTAGACAGTTAAATTGAAATCGGATTTTAGAAGCTGCCTGTTGAAGTAAAAACTTTTTTTTCTGAATCGTTTTGAAAATGAAAGAAAGCTGTAGTAATTTATTGTTTTCTTTCGTTGCTCGAACGAAGGGGTTGATCAAAGAATTACTCGTGTTATAAGTTATAGATATATAGACTATCGATTGATTGGATAAATACGAATTTAATGTCACTGGTGAGATCGATTTTGAACAATGGATCACCCCATTGCTGGATGTGGGGATGATGTGGTGTCAGCCTCAAACGTGAATATGAGGTGAGGTGTGGTGTTTTTGAAACACAAGACTGGAATGTCTGATTGATATTGTGGATTTAAACATTAAGAATAATTTAGTAATAGTGGTTTATTACTAATGTGAGATATTTATTTTCTCATCATGCGTTCTGGAAATTTCAGTCGCCTCTTTCTGATTTTACAGTATAGTATCCTTTTTGTTTCTATTCATCTTAAAGTGTTATCGTTGCTCACATGTCTCGTCTATGTTATTCTTATCAGCTTACTGATTACGAGATATTTGATGCATCAAAGTTCAGTAGTCCTTTCTTCGATTCTTACGAAGTATATTTGGATATTATTATCTTGTTTGGGTTTTGGAAAGCAAATTTCGCAATATAAATCGGGATTAAGACCCACTGGAATTGTGAAATTTGATTTTCAGTTTTGATGACATGAAAACTTTTTTGCTATCGAAGATAAAAACAAAATTTAAATACTCCTTGACAGTATTTTTGCTGCACACTGAAATTGAGTATGTAAAATTTGATCGTCTGCTATTTCAAGCGAACACAAACAAATAGTTTTCTTTTTATTCTTCTCTGTCTCCCATAGTATTCAATAGTTCTTCATTCTTCAAGCCGGCATTGTTTCCTAGCTGATCAGTTATTACACACCAAGTTTCTGGTAAGCCAAAGTACAAACTACTCTGATCAGGGATTGAACTGAACCCTTTATTAAATCTACGAGGGTAGACTGTTCATGTTCCACTGCTCATGTCTCGGGATATCCCGTATAGTTCTTATTTTTAGTACTTTCTCTGTTATTACACACCGAGTTTCAGGCGAGACCAAGTAAAAACTGCTCCGGCCGGGGATCGAACTGAATCCCTTATTAAATCTACCGGGGTAGACTGTTCTCGTTCCACTGCACATGTCTCGGGATATCCCGTGTAGTTTTTATCTTTAGTGCTTTCTTATTTATTATTGTCTCCCATGGTTTTCTTTCTCTGTTATTACACACCGAGTTTCCGGTGAGATCAAGTACAGACTGTCCTGGCTGGGGATTGTACTAAATTCTTTATTTAATCTTCCGGGGTAGACTGTTCTCGTTCCATTGCCCATGTCTCGGGATATCCCGTGTAGTTTTTATTTTTAGTACTTTCTCCTCGTTTATTACACGCCCAGTTTCCAGCGAGCCCAAGTACAAACTGCTCCGGCAGGTGATTGAAGTGAATCCTTTATTTAATCTACCGGGGTAGACTGTTCTCGTTCCACTGCACATGTCTCGGGATATCCCGTATAGTTTTTATTTTTAGTGCTTTCTCATTTATTATTGTCTGCCATGGTCTTCAATAGTTCTCCATTCTTCAAACCATTTTTTCTTAGCTGATCCAGAAACGTTAAGTCGGGTCTTTCTCTCTTTCGTTTTCCGTGTTTAGGCTCCCACAAGAGTACTTATTTTAACAGCTCTTCTTTCCTGTGCCTAATATACCCAATGAATCACAGTCTTAGAATCCATGGCGATTCCGTCAAACTTTGCCATTTTCCGTAGAGCTGGTTTGTGTTCTTTCGATGATACACCAAAACAGACCTACACATTTCCGTACTTTTTCCCGTCAAGCCTATCGCTCATCTTTGTTAAAGTTCAGCTTTGAACACCTTGGAGCAGGAAGCATTCCAATGTTGGCTTTGGCGATTCGACTTTTATATCTTTCAGTTTTGTTTAGGGCACTCTAGGCTACGCCAAGTCTGTTCCCCATGTCTTTTTTAAGCTTCTGAATACAATCACCAAGGTACTCAGTCGTCTACTTTTTATTATGCTACACAAGGTCCGAGTGCCACTAACGATAAAGTGATATTGTTAAAATAGCTATAATGAATAACTTGTGATATGAAGGAAGGGGTGGCAGGTAGTGAAGATTATGATCATTCGGGGGATAGATAATGATTGAACCTTGGCATGAAGATGTCAAGATTGAAAAGTTCAAGGGAGTAAAGAAGCGTTTTCGCAAAAGAAGTAGTTCTTGAAAAAAAGGTGCTTCAATGGAACTTTCTCTTTACATTTGAAATACAGATGAAATGAGGGAGAGGCGACCCCGTGGAGCGGTAAGGATGGCATATCCTGGCTGTAGAGGACTGAACTGGTGGCACTCAAGTATGAAGCTCTACTGGACATTTTCTGTGGAATCCAGCTTAGCTTGCAGCCTCTCGTCTGTAAAAATGAAGGCGCAGAGTGGAAAGGGAATATTGACCTGCCCAGACATCCCAACAATACTTCATTTTTAGGCCTAATCTGATTACAAAAACATGACTGTGTGAATATCTGGGATGAGAATTATTTTCACCATTTAAAATCGGACCATTATCCTCATCTTTGTTGTTATCGCAACGTTTCGGCCTTTGTACCATCCGGCCTTCATCAGGTGTATGCGGATCCGGGTAAATTATAGGGAATTTCGAACTGGACCCTTTAATTTATCTACAGGAGTAGACTGCTCTCCTTCCAAAGTGTAGGAAGATCTCATTTAGTTCTTTTTCAGTTATTACTCAGCCTAGTTTCCAGTGAGCCCTAGTACAAACTGCTCTGGCCGGGGATTGATCTAAATCCTTTATTTAATCTACCGGGGTAGACTGTTCTCGTTCCATTGCCCATGTCTCGGGATATCCTGTCTAGTTCTTATCTTTAGTACTTTTACAGTTATTACTGTTTACACTGGTTTTAAGTACACACTGCTTGGCCCAGGAATTGAACTCATAATTACTATGCCACCAAATTCGTCGAAACCATGCTTTAATCCATTGGGCTAAGATAAAAATTTGTCATAAGTCATCCTTACAAAGATGGGGTATATTTGAGTAATTTTTGTAAATATAGTAACTTTTAACACTGAAGAACTGACTTCTTCTAACGACAACGTTATACTTGTGTTCGGTATAATCTTTTTCAAAAGTGAGAATCAAACGGGCTTTGTCTTATAAATTATGGAAATATTTATATCTTGAATGAAGTACACATGTGAGATGTTTTGCCATCATCAGTAAACTGATTATGTGCTAGACAATCTTCCTAAACATCATTTGACCGCCTTGGCGGTAGAAACTGGTCATCATGTTGTTAGACATTTTATTTCTTAGATTTTCACTATATCAAGAATTTACATAAATTGTTGGTTATTGGGAACTTTTAGTCCATTTCCTGTTCTTTCTTGGTGATCAGACGAGTTTCGCGTTGGCATTCAAACTTGGCAGACGATTTTCAGAATTTCCAAAATATATTGGATGTTCAGACGTAATATAGGTGAGCTAATGTTCAAAAGTCCTTTCTGCATAAATATAGCAGGTCTAAAATGAGAGATATATTTTAACAGTATTAGACCGATCAATAGATAGATATATAAGAGCATAATAAGATACAATAGACGAATAAATATGAACATAAGAAGATAGATATATAGTTTGATAGATAGATATGAACAAAATGAAATAGATATGAACCGACTGAGATAGATAGATATGAACTGAATGAGATATATAGACATGAACAGACTGTAACAGATAGATAGATAGGTAGGTAGGTAGGTAGGTAGAAATTGAATAGAATGGGATAAATAGATAGACATGAACAGACTGAGATAGATATGAATAGACTGAGATAGGTACATAGATGGATAGACAGATATTAACAAACTGAGATAGATATGAACAGACTGGTATATATATATGTTGATACTTGACTAATGCATGGAATAATAATGAAACACAAAATGTACTTAGAACAAAATGTATTGAAACAAGAAAGTGTACACAATATTTACATATAGTCTTTTGTATATTCCTGGTAGGACCGTTCCTGGAGAATGTGTTGACTGAGTCGCAGTCGGGCAGAGTCTCTGGTTGAATCTCTTGATTCCTTCCTCTCTTCCCGGTACCAACCATATTTATATGGTCGGTACTCCACTATGCAAATTAGGTGGATCCTTCCACAACAATATATATATATATATATATATATATATATATATATATATATATATAGAGAGAGAGAGAGAGAGAGAGAGAGATAAACAGACTGCGATAGATATGAATTAAGTTTTTCTAGATCTCATCCGATGCCTTGCGATTTTTCTCAAAAATTTCAAAATTAATGTGTTATTTACTGCAACAAACGATAAAATTACGTATACTAATTATTCTCCCCCATCACAGACGCATGAAAAACAGATTTTTAACCAAAATTTCCAACTTACTAGAAAGGATTAAAATTTAATAAAATAAGGAAAATACTTTGGCCTTTCCTCTTAATAACATAAACATTTTGATCAAGTTTGAAGCCATCATGGTATGCTTCTTTTTTCACCGAATTAGTGGAGGTACCTAACACACACACACACACACACACACACACACACACACACACACACACACACACATATATATATATATATATATATATATATATATATAATTATTTTAGAGAAGTTTATGATTTAGCTGAGTGGTGCTGGTTAAGTAATATCTACTACGTAGATTCGTGAGCACGTCAAGATAACATGTTCAGGGCTTGTTTTCTTTTCTGGATATAAAGTGTGCAAAATTTGTCCGAATATTCTATATATTCGGACGCTTCGGCTGTACTTTTAGCTATTAACAAGGATGTTTTTTTTTAATTTCTAACTTGGTGTGTAGATTTTATTTATATATGTTTTTGAGTGATGGGAATATTTTCCAGAGAATTACGAAACACTATATTATTTATCAATTCACATGTCCCGTAAGGAACTGAGTTCTTGATGAAAAAAAAAATCAATAATTATATTAGACATACCACTACATGCCCCTCAAGAAGACTTACGATATATCTCTATGACCATAGCTCAATTAGGACTCACATAAACACATACGAAAACCTATCAAACTCCATCCGCAACATACTTGTAGAAAATACACGTACACATGCCTCATCCATATGTAAAAAAATAAATGAAAATAATGGAATCACTAATAATAAAAAGAAAATAACAACACTCGATTACATCAAGTAGGAACACGGCCAAAATATGTTGATTTTTTTCTGGATAAAAAAAGTAAAAAAAACATTCACATCACACACACACACACACACACACACACATATATATATATATATATATATATATATATATATATATATATATATATATATATATATATATAACAGAGAAATCCAAGATGACCTCATGGTTATAGTTTATTTCTATCAACGCTGAGTACGTCAGTCTTATTCAACCCAGATGGATAGACTGCTTAACGTACTCAGCGTTGGTTGAAATATACTATACCCATGAGGTAATTTTGGATTTCTCTGTTGTGTAATTTATATAGTCTGTTATAATAAATAGACAGAACTATTTTTGCGGATCAGTTTTAATATTTTATATTATTAGGCCCCACTTGGATTACATGCCAACGAGTTTTTTTACATGAACTATATATATATATATATATATATATATATATATATATATATATATATGCGTGCGTGTGTGTGTTTGTGTGTGTTCATGAAGAAGATGAAGTATAGACTTGAAACAACAGAAATGTGGTCCTAGAGAAGAATGCTGAGAATACTATGGACCGAACATGTAAGCAACGAGGAAATTCGAGAGACAGTGACGACAAGACACTTATACTTAACATCAAGAACAGACAGTTTAAATTTCTCGGGTAAATAATGATGAAAGAGGGCTTAGAGAATTTGATACCCAAAGGGCAAAGTGAAGGTAAGTGAAACAGAGGAAAGAGACGCATAACCTACCTGACGGATTTGAGTGAATAGATGACGGAATAGGGTTTAGGGTTGATCATAAAAAGACGAAATTTATTAAGAGCTACAAAGAACAAAGAATTTTGGAGAGCCATTATTGCCAACGTCATTAAGGGACCCGGCACGTACAAGAAGAAGTATTCAAATAAGGTAAATAGATAACAACGATGCTTTTGTAAGGTTAATTTTCTTTCTGATTTTAAATGACGATAGTGTAGATTCACCACAGGAGAAAGACATCGTAGTTGTGTTTATTAAAAAAATCGAATAAAGACTAGACCAGTTGTATAATTATAGAAGAATGAAGCTTCTGTAAAGTAAAGAAATTAAAAAAGGGAGAAAGTGAAGGAGAAAAACGGAGGATATTCAACGAAAAATGAAAGAAAGGAAGTAAAAAAAATAAAAAGCAAGATGGCTGACATGGGGGTGTTTTTCTTGCTTTTATGAATCTGACATGACATGATTAACTTTAAATTTCGATAATTGGCTTGTTAGAACAGAACGCTAACCCCAGCAGTATGGTGATGAGTCAATAAAAGCGAAACTCACAATAAAACGACTTAAAGTTTTGTTAAAATGAATGACAACTTTACTCAGTAATAAAATAAACGTAATGTGTGAAAATCAAAATGAAGAGGAATTATAATGAATAAACAGTTTTAAAAATATTTAAGACCCAAGAAAACAAACAACGTTAACAAAACCACAAATAATGCGACAATAAACATACAGAAAAAAATACATAAAAAAGATATTCTTAATTAGGCAATCAAAATGATTCAATCAGTTTTTCCCCTTTAAAATCGTGTGCGAAATGATGTGGAAGCTTCCAGAAGCAGGCGACTCTCTTTATGCCCATAATTCGTGCAGAATTTATTGGCTGCTTTTGGTTGCGGCGCCATCCTGCCACCTCGTGACATCATTACGTCACGTGTCAACCGCGCATGTCCGGCATTGACTCCAGGCAAGCATCTTTATTGTCCAATTATGGCGAAGATAAACACACGATTCCATATTGCTCGCACAAACGACTGCAGCCGCCATAACTTCGACAGAATTTAATCATTTTAATATGCAATAAAATCAGTTGATTTTTGCGATATTTTTCTTTTTGATTTTTCATCTTTTCTTAATTTCGAATTAATTTGCTTTTCATTCTTTATTCCTTTCTTTTTCTTTTTCATTTTTCATTTCCTTCATTAAATTTTTATTTTATCCCTTTTTTGTCATTTATTTGCTTTGTTTCTTTCCGTCTCATAACTACATTTGTCATTTATTGCTTCTTATCTTTTTAAAAAAATATTTTTGTTTTCTCTCTCTTTATTTATTATCTTTTCTCATCTATCTCTCTATCTAGTTAGCTAGCTATTTCAGTCTGCTCATATCTATCTATCTATCTATCGATTTCAGTCTGTTCATATCTATATTTCTATGTATTTCAGTCTGCTCATATCTATCTATCTATCTATCTATCTATCTATCTATCTATCTCAATCGGATCATATCTATCTATCTATCTATCTATCTATCGATTTCAGTCTGTTCATATCTATATTTCTATGTATTTCAGTCTGCTCATATCTATCTATCTATCTATCTATCTATCTATCTATCTCAATCGGATCTATCTATCTATCTATCTATCTATCTATCTATCTATCTATCTATCTATCTATCTATCGATTTCAGTCTGTTCATATCTATCTTTCTATATATTTCATCTCTCTATCTCATATCTATCTATCTATCTCTATCTATCATATCTCAATCGGATCATATCTATCATCTATCTATCTATCTATCTATCTATCTATCTATCTATCTATCTATCTATCTATTTTTCAGTCTGTTCATATCTATATTTCTATGTATTTCAGTCTGATCATATCTATCTATCTATGTTCATAACTCTGCCTGTTATAATTGGTTCTGCTTTCACATCCAAAAGCAGATACGCCCGGACACATAAAAAGAAACGGTGGTGAGGTCAATAGTCAGTCAGTTATATGCCCTGCGTGATACACACTTGTGCGATCATGTATCTTTCGATACATGACTGGCGAGGCGGATTTTTTACCGCAGTAGGTTACGATTTCTTTCTGCAGTAGACCATTTGCCATCCAATGTCCTGCTATTTACTCATATCTGGGGAGAAAAGGAGAGGAATCATACTTTTCCCAAAGAATGGATTTGACTGGAATTCGAACTCAGCTCTCCGATTCCTCAATCCGAGCCGGTATCTATTACTCCATCTTGCCACTGAGGGGTTTAGAAAGAGAAATAGTGGGAAAAGAAGTGAAAGATGATGAAAGGAAGGGAAAGAACTGAAACAGAAAAAAAAAAAGAGAAAGAAAGAGAATGGTCAAAAAGAAGGGAAATATGGATATAGAAAGAGAAAGGCCTTCAGATCATTCGAAATTGGTCGAGGTTAAAAAAGCGAAAGAGAGTGAAAAGAAGACAAAGCGGGTGAAAGGAAGAAAAGAGGCCGAACAGAAGAGAAATCCGGTGAAAGGAAAAGAAGGAAAGGGGTGAAGGAAAAGAAAGAGGGACAAATGAAAAGGAAGAGGGCTAAATTCCCAGGATAGCAACCCTTTTCACTTTCGTCGTCTCACGTTTTCCACTGACACAAAGTGGAATGATTAGATTGAATCAATTGCTAGATCTGCTGCTAGAAAACGTTGTTCACTCTGTTCTGCCAAACAATTTTCTTGCCAGGATCCTTCTTGTGAGTTTATAAATCTACCATTCGACCGTAAAGATATTGCTGCCATATCTGGTTTGGTGGTTCCACAATATATCTGAAGATCTTCGACAAAATGCAAAGCAGGGTCTGTAATGGTATCGGTCAAGACCTGGCATCTCGACTTCATTCTCACCACCCTGACGTGGTTTCCCTCTGTCTTTTCTATAAATATTTTCATGGAATTTGTTCTAGTGTGCTCTCCTTCTTACTACTTTTGTACTAGGATTGTTCATTGTTACAGACCAGCTCAAATCACGCTGTTAAATAATAGTTTAGCAGACTATTATTTTTAGGGGGAATGGTATCTCTGCTCGGACTTCCTAAGGTTGACCTTTGGGGTCAGATGGAAGATAAAACAAGGCAGTCGATTTGGATTGGCTGACCGAGCGTTGGAATGAGAGATATAGAAAGGTTTTTCAGGGAGTTTTTTCTTAACCGTCAAACAATGTAGACGTGTTTTCTTTCGTGTCCGAAACGGCTCCCCAGTGAAGGGGTGACCCCCCACTGCATAGATAGAACATGTCGATATGAACGTTAATAGAATAGTTAACAGAATAGTTAAGTTTAAAATTATCTGTGTTGAAGTTATTTTATCTTTGGACTCAACACATCTAGCGATCCCCAGCCGTGAAAGAAGAATTCAATTTTATTATCGAAATGATGCTGTCGTCCAAGACCCTCCCACCCAGCATGAGGGAAAAGATACAACATTATAATAATTGGGCTCAATACACCCCCCAGCACGAGAGAAAAGATATGCAACATCATCACGGCCCAGACGTGATTTTGTCGCCCTACCTACATTTGTATTTTTTTTTGTTTGAAGAACTGTCAATTTTACGTTAAGTGTATCTTTAGTTTTTCTTATGTTTTTCTTACTGTTATTTTTTGTGAAAATTTTCCGAATTCACTTTTCTTTTTTTATTTTCTTTTTTTCACCCTCCCCTGACTCTAAGTCTTTTGTTTTAGTTTTTTTTGTTGCTAGTGTAACATTTAGTTACACTGGACTATTGATTTAATTTTATTTATTGTGTAAATTGTATTTAATTTCTTTTATTTTTCAACCCCCGCCTGTAAACTAATCTTTTTTTTATCGCATAACTCTTCTTTCTGCTTACTCTTTTAGTTTTAATTTTCTACGTGTTACTTTGTTCATTGTTTTTTTTTTGTGTCCAAATTTTAATTTTTACTCGCAAGCCGAGTTTATTTTTTCTAGTGTATCTTTTATTTTCCATTTCTTTATTGTTTAATCTGTTTGTTTTTTATTTTATTTTCATGCTATGTCGGCCATTTTTGCTTGGTAAGACATTATTCTATACGTGTCTCCTTTTTTTCCTTTTGTAATATTTTTTCATTTATTTATTTTGCTGTTTTCATTTTTAAAAAAGGGAAACCGTTTTACGTGGTTTTATTTAATTTTGTTGTTTGAGTAAATTTATTCTTTTAGTTTACACGTCAAATATTTACGCGTTTGTTCTTTTTGTTCTCGTTTTTACATTGTTAAATTTGTTTCCCTTCTCTTTATAGAAAATCTTTATTTTAATATGTGTATATTTTTTTAAGTAACTTTCATTTTTCATGTCAAAAACTTGATTTTGTCTGACTTTTTATTTTCCGTTTATCTTGTTAAATTTGTTTTGTGTATTTGTTTAAGATTATTTTGTTATGGTATTTCTTTGTTTCTATTGTTTAATTTTTTATTTTAAGGAAATTGTCTGTTTTCCAGAAAAAAAAGGTATTTTTAAAAAGTAATAAAAAATGGCCGACAAACGTCGTCGATTAAAAAGATCTGTTGATTTCAAAGGAGAAAAGTCCTCCACCTCCGATAAAAAGACTAACAGTGGCTGCTGCGAGTGTAGCCATTATAAAAAATAATGAAGGCAAAATTGAAAAGAAAAAGTATGGAAATCATGAATGGCCAAAATTAAGAAAACGAAAATGGATTGCCAACTGTGACCAGCAACAATAACAACATCAACAAAAACGAAAATCTAGCGGCAGGGATTCGCACTCATGCTGGAAGTCTCCACTGAAGTATATGACGAAGTTCGTTGAGAGAGCCAAGAGCTACGCACATCTTATCAAAGAAGATAGTCTCTTGGTAGATCCCGGGGAATTACAAAAGGTTGAAAAAAATTGTGTCAATCTTTGTGGTCGACAAAAGTTGGGACAAAAATTTGTTGCTCCATAAAAGACACCATTATTAAAACTCTGACGTCCCTGGGGAGGGGGTCAAGTACCAAAGTGTCATAATAGGCAAGCGTTATTTATGTGGGACTTATTTTTGCCCTCGCCTGACGACTGTGTGGAAGCGTCGAGTCGGGATCTAATAACAACCTGCTGAAAGTGTGGAGAGGCCGGTCACTTCTCCACTTCCTGCCCAGAGAAGAAGGTCTCCGGCAACCAAAATCTTCCTTTGGTTGAGCCCGTTTTATTCCGTGTCGCATGTAATGCCAGCGACCAGGACCGATGCGGTAAAATCCTCCGGTTCAGTTTATTTCGCAGCCCCCATAGTAGATTTAATTTTAAAATATATATTCACATTGATATTAAGTTTTTTTCAGTCTACTTCACGGTTGTCTGTGTTAAAGTTAGACGCCATGATGTAACATCGTGAGCATAAAATGGTGGACAATAATTCAAAGTTAAAGATTAAAAAGGAAAAGTGTTCTAATAAACAGCCAAAGCTTTCTTGGTATTGTTTATTTTTAAGGACTTTTAAAATGAGAAATCTTTCTAAAATTTACCCTTTTATACATTTTTAATCTGATTTACTTTCCTATTTTCTCTTGCTTACTTTTTTAAATTTAAAAGTTATTTCATTTATAAATATTTTCTTCGTATCTTCTTTCTAAATATGAGGTGTGGTGTAAGGGATAACGATTCAGAATGAAAGAAAAAGTTCGAATTCCAATCGGGTTCGTTACAATCATTTACACGCAAAAAACCTATTCCCGCGCAGCTATTGGTTGAATAGAAGCAGGCTGGGTCATATAACCTTGATTGGCAGCCACTCTATTGCAGAAAAAATAGCAACTTACTGCGAATATATCTTCTATCAAGTCGGTAAGGAATCGAGAGAAACATGATCGCCCAGGTGTGTACCACGTATGGTACTGAACAGAAACAAACAGTGAGCTATGTGAGGAAGTTATGGAGAGACATCATCACCCAAGCGTGTATCACGTATGTTACGGAACTGAAAGGGAAGAGTCAAAAGTGATTTAGGTGAGGAAGTTGTGGAGAGACATGATCGCCCAAGTGTGTATCACGTATGGCACAGAACTAAAACAGTCAACAATGGAAGAAGTTGTGGAGAGACATGATCACCCACTTAACTGATTTCTTTTCACGTTATTCTACATGTTTTTCTTACATTTTATATTTTGGCATTTTAAAAAAATATATTGTAAACACTTTTTCCTTTTTATTTTTATATTTCTTGCATTTTATACAAACTTTTTAGATATTTTTTTCCATTTTTACAATTTCTCCAAGGTTTTTACATGTTTTTTTTTTACAATTTTGACTGTTTCAAAATTTCTTGCATATTTGATATTGTTTACATTCTCCTAATTTTTAAATACTTTTTCATTTTTGATATATTTTTTCAATTTTATATTATTTCTATTTCTCTATTTTTTCACATTTTTACCTTTTTTTAATATTTTTATGTGTTTTAGGTTTTTACATGTTTAAAAAAATACTTTTTAAATTTATTGTTTGTTTTTTCATTTTTCAAAAATGTTTACATTTTCCCAATATTTCCATTTTTTTTTACATTTAAAAAAAATCCTTTTTTTTATATTTTTACATGATTTTACATTTTTATTTATACATGTTTTTTTTTGTATTTTGCATTATTTGTTTCATTATTCCAATTTTTACGTTTTTTTTTACATATTTTTCTTACATTTTTTTTTCAATTTGTTAATATTCTTTTTGAGAAAAACTGTCTTTCTGTCTGTTTGTCACCTAATTTTTCGTCCCAATGATCAAAAGAACATGATTAAAAAAAAACAAAAAAACTTGCTCCCCCCCACCACGAAAAATAAAAAAAGACATCATCAACAACCCCGAAAACAATGCCAATAAATGAAAAAAAATGCCAAAGCATTAAACGAAAGTGTTTTTGACTGAAACACTAATAACTCTGCTTCTGTAA